ATATATAGACTATCCTGCCATCCTGACTCCTGAGACCAAAATTTATATGTGTATTTATGGCATTTTTCGATCTAGTCGTTACTCAGACCAAGTTGACCACACAAACGGTTTTGCTTTCACTTGGTTCGTCTAGATATTACATCTTTTATACTAAAATGTAACACCGAGTGAAATTGTCCTTTATGAACAATAGAACTTTTTTAAACATTCAAAACTCTCATAGAGAAAATGCTACTTCTCCATTGAGATCATGTACTAGACACTTCGATAAATTTTCTAGAAAAAGTATATTAATTTTACTCTAAAGTGTAAGTTTGATCTTCTATACCTATATATGATCATATCACAAGCTCATAGCTCCAGGTTCTCACTTTCTAAACTTCTTACAACTCAAATACAACCGCTACCATTAATAATCCGCTCCTTTATGTGCTTAGATTTCTATAGTTTTTTTTTATCATATCAACGTACTTTGTATTTTTCCTGATTTATATTAATTAACCATAATTGCATAAGTTTGTCATTTAACTGAGTCCCACAATATATGAGCATATTCTCCCTGAAATTTGACCACAACACGCCACTTTCTCACCAAATCTCATTACATCAAATACTAATTAACATATGTTGAATTGGTTTCTTAATTAAGATATTTCCAAACACCATGTTTCATCATATTTTCAATTTGACAAAAATGTAGATGTTACATAAAATGTTGATCGTTGCAAAATTTGTGCATTGCTTGAAGATATGGTTGTCCTCTATGTTTATATATGGAGATGATGAAAAAAACGACTAACAAGTTCACTTGTTCTTTTGTTTCAAAAAAACTTCTTTGACAATCTTCAAAGCATATTATCATCAACAATCATACAATCACTCTTCAAGAAGAAATCAAAAAGGAAAGCACATAGGAAATAAGTAGACTGCTAAAACAATTCTGGATACCTGATAATAGTCATTTTTTAAAATTTTGATTGAAGAGTAAAATCAAATGTAACAATGTCTGCATCAAGAACATTGCTAGCTACGAATTATTTCAGTAAAATTGACATTATCGATTCAAGCAATCAACAACGCAAAATATGAACAAGGTCTTACAAGGTGTTCTGACCTATTCTTGTGCAAAAGTCATATTGATTGGGTTATAGAGCTCCCGTGTGTAGAGATCACCACGGCGTATGTTAGCAATGTTCAACCGTTCACCATCGTCATCTGTAGTAGGGCAGTCAATGTTCTTCTCATCCACCTGAGTAAATTCCTCGGTTGCATTAGCGGTCGATTTGGTAGCCAGTGAAACCCCAGGTATTTTCTCAGAAATCAACTCATACCTCGTTGCCGTCGACATGTGTTCTTCACGGCCACGAGGAGTAAATGCTGAATAAACCTCCGGCGGACGATGCGGTGGAGCCCCAGAAATAGAAATACCCTGCATATCCGTAGATATAGCAGAAGAGGGCACAGCGGATGTCATCGGCACTAATACCGGAGATTCAGCTATGTTGGAGGCCGGACGAGGCGTAGCAGCTTCCGGAACTGCTACCGTCTGATTTACAGTTAAATCGGAAGGCGGTTGAGGAGAGGGCGCGGTCATCGGAGAGGGAGGAGTGTGAACATTTGTAAGGTTTGTTGCTGCTGATTCATAACCGTGATCTTTCGTTGAATTCGACGCAACGTTACTTCCTAGAATCGAAGTCGAGTTTCCGGTATCCGTCAGAGATCTGAAGTCGATAATACCTTCCAAACCATGAACAGCGATATGTTCGTCGTAGAACAAACCAGGAAAAGCAATATCAATTCCTTCCACCACAACCGGGAATGGAAGCAGCAGAGGGTTCACTATATGAATCTCATGACCACGTACAAGCGATGGGAAAGAATTCGAACCATAAGGAAGCATCCGGAGGTCAGGAAGAGAGAGACGGTGAGGCACGCCGTGGAAACGCAGAGCCAGGGTGTAATCGGCCGCCGACATGCTCATGTCAAGAGAATAAAGAGCCGAATCGATCGGTGCGAAGAAGGTGAAGTTGCTGCCGGATAAAATGTCGTAGCGAAGGTCGGTGGTTGTGATTGCGTTAGCGAAGAGGTGATAGCCTCTGAATCTGAGAGCAGAGAGCATCGAGTAGTATTCACGTTCCGGAACGGCGGTGACAAGGATGGTGTTGGTGAAGATGAGGAGGAGGAGCGCGGCTGAGATGCTGAAAGTTGACGCCATTGTTAACGGTGGAAGGTGGATCGGATCGATGAAAAGTTGAAATGATTTTGGCGGGATTTTGTTTTCTGTTGCAACTGACTCCCATAGTCGGTGTTTTATACCCCATCAATACTGTGCCACGCTACCACAATTTTGATTATTCGATTCTGTTAAAAACAATGTAATTTTCTTTTGCATTTTCAAATGAGGCAAATTACAAGAACAAAATTATAAAAACCCTGTTTGATAAATGAATAATAGAAATCGATATATGAATAAAAAAAACTAATAATGAGTGATCAATTTTTAAAAGTTTTAATGTTTGAAAAATAAATTTTGTTTTTGATTATTTGATAATTTAGTGTTCAAAATAATAGTTTAGATTATGGACATGACGACACCGTATCAATGTCCTAAAACTTTATGAGAAATATGATATAGTATTATTAATTTGTGGTTTTGTCTTCAATATAAAAAATTAAAAATGAGTTGAACAAAAATCAGTTTTAACTTTTTATTAAGGGGGAGAGGGCGGCAAAATTTCAGTTCATATAAAAACCTCATTTTATGTTTTTGCCTTCGAATTGACACATGT